CTGAACAGGGTTGAGGAATGTTGAGGATCCATCCCCCTGTGCCTCCGAAGCAGGAGCCTCATCCCTAAGCAGAGGCTCTGAGAATGGTATGCCCGGTGTGCAGTCGATGGTGAGGGTACCTCTTCAGCAATGTCTTTCGTCTGAGGCTACGATTGCAGCCCTGCTCTCAGAGGCTTGCATTCTACTGAATGCAGCTGCTCTGATCATCTGTACCCAGGCACTGGATCGTCTTGGCCAGCTGGAAAGAGAGATGCTTGTCTGATATCTTTCGGCCGGAATGCAGCCGATGACAAGCGCGTGTTGTTTGAGGACTGGTGCTGCAAGCATGAGCAGCGTGGCTGTGCTGCGGCTGATGAGCTCTACAGCTGCTGGCCCCTAAGTGTAGTAGAGGGAAGATGCGCAGATGCACAACAGCTCATGCGGTGCACACTGTCCAGGCAGCTCCGAAGAAAGCCCGGAAAGTGCTTGGTCAGATCACCACAAAGACTGGTGCTGCAGGCCCCGATGGCTCTGCCCTGACTTCTGCAGCGCATCGGAAGCATGGATTCTCTGACTCTGGCAGGCATCATCACCGCGGCTGTCAGTATGATTGCCTTGCTCTTGGCTGAAACCACCTTGGTGTGGCTTGCGTGTTCACGCCTTCTTTCAATGGAAGCCGGGTTTGGTGAGCCGTCAATCGTTGAGCTTCAGCATCCGGTTGTAGAAGTTCTGATCTGCTCAGGTTCTGACTTCCATTTGCAAGATGATTGGCTTGGGTCTGAGTAGGGTCACCATGATGAGAGCATAGCTGAGCATAGCTGCATGGAAGAAGGCAGCGACTCAGGTCTTCCAGCCAGAAAAAGTGGTGTTGTGACCATATGGGCTTTGGCTGCACCAGGCCACTGCAGCGACACTGCAGAGTCTTGTGCCCGCACTTGCAAAGCAATGGTTGCGAGGTAGCATCGCATCCCCTCAGCACCTTCTCTTGAGAGGGTTCCGCCTCGTGGGGAGCAGTCGCTCAAGGCTGTTCAGTAAAGCCTGCTGCCTTGCTATTTGCGTGCTGCTTGGAGATGCAGATGCGCCGAACGAGCCGATCTTGAGCTAAGCAGAAGGTAAGGCTGGCGGAGATGCCAGACTTTCCGTTTTCCTCCTCGTGTCTAAGGGCCGAGGGTAATTCTGTGGAGCGGAACAAAGATTCCCAAAGGTGCTCCGCAGTCCGTGTGCGATACATCGCGATCTGTCGCGGGCAAGAAAACTACTCGCCAAACATCACATAGTGGATAGCTCTCCACGAAGTGCGGCTTTTCATTTTTGGAGGGGGGTGGGCGGGCACCACCCACCCTCCACCCACCCCCACCCCCACGCATCCGGCCCCCCACCCACCCCCCACCACCCCCTTCCCCTTCCGCCCCCATCCTCGTAACTTGGTTTCTGAATATTTCGCCTTCAATAAAAGTACTTGAAATTCATTGAGAAGAGGCAAAATCAATTCAGTAAAGTCTGTAAACTATCAAGTAGATGAATAAAACAAATCCAACATACCAGTTTAGTTGCTTGTATTATTTATTTCAGGCCTAGCGGCACGGGCCGGCCCCCGCCCCCCAAAGCACGAAACCTTGAACCTTGGCACTGTCTTCTCTTTCCCGTGTCTTTGTCCTCTCCTTCTCTCTGTCTCTCTTTCTCCTGCCTTCGCCCCCCCTCCCTCTCCCGCCCCCCCCCGCGCGCGCGCGCGCGCACCCGCATCAGGAGCATCAGTGGGGTTGGTTTGGGGGCCTTAAAAGCATTCTATGCATGCGTTTTGCCTTCGAAAAACCTTCAGAAAACGCTGTAAACACGTGTTTTTGGGCTTGGGAAGCCTTTTGGGACCCAGGAAAGGGAGCATCATGAGCATCAGCGGCCTCCCCCAGGCCATCCAAAACCCCCTTAAACACGCCGATTGTATGTGCTTGAACGCTTGCGTGCCCACGAAACCCCCAAAAGCAAGACCCCGAATGCCCTTAAGGGCATTCGGGGTCCTGCTGTTCGGGTGTTTTGTAGGCACGAAGCCGTTCGAGCGCGTAAAATGAGCGATTTTAGGGGCGTTTTTACGTGGACCCACAAAACACTCGGTATTTACGAGGTTTTCTGCTGTTGGAACACCCCCCCAAACCGAGCATCATGAGCATCAGCTGGGTCTCTGGGCCGTGGGCCCGGACCCCCCCACGAAGCCCAAGAGAAGCGATGGCTCGATGATGCGCCCGGACCCCGCGCATCAGCAGCATCAGCAGACCCCCCCCCGGACGTGGGTTTCGATGATGCGCACTTTGGGGGCGGGTCAAGGGCAACAGGGGTGGGGGTCGGAGGCACGCGTGAAAAACCTCATAAAAACACGGTATTTACGGTGATTTCAGCGTTTTTCAGCGTTTTTTATTGCCTTGGGCCCGCGGGCCAGGGCTGCTGATGCTCATGATGCTCGCCTGGTTTTGGGCTTCCGGTACCCCCCCCAAACCTTGAAAAACGTGGTTTCGGCCTGGCGCGCGCCCCATGTGAAAAGCTAGGGCCGATGATGCGCGCCCGTGAGGGTTTAATGGGGTGCTGCGGGTGTTTTGTGGCCTCGGTTTTTCGTAAAAACCCATGGTTTTTACGAGGTTTTCGTGCTTTTCGCACCACCGCGTGTTGCGTCCCCTTGGATGCCGTTTTGGAGGCCTCCCGAAGGGCCCCGCGCGAATTTGAAGCAATTTTGGGCGGGGTCGGCGGCTCGGGCGCTCGCCCCTTAAAGCTCGCGCTTTAGTGCGACGCGGGCTCCGCCCTGGACCACGGGCGGCGCGGGGGCCGGATTTAAAGGCTGACGCCGCTGCCGCCGACCCCCAAGATAAGGACGTCCGGGCACCGCCGGGCATCTTCCGGATGATCACCCAAAAAACACACAAGCCTGCTCTTGAGTGGCTCCCATGCATGGAAAGTAGCCAACATCTGTCGCCTTCCAAAACAACAAATTCGGCTGTTGTTGGTCCTTCTCCTGTGGGGGGGCGGCTATTAAGGGGTAGGGAATTCGGTTGTTTTTGGTTGGGCGGCTAGGCAGGGGGGTAGGGGGGCGGGGGTAGGGGGGGGGAGTGGGGGGGGGGGGTTAGGGGGGGGGTGGGGGGGTCGGGTTAGGGGGGGGGGGGGAAGGGGGGGAAAGCTTGTTGGCTCCTGCCCCCCCCCTTCCCCTTCCCCCCCCCCCCCCCTTCCCCCCCTTCCCCCCCCAACCCCAACCCCCCCCCCCCCCCTACCCCCCACAAGAAAAGGGCAGGGGGGGGGGGGGGGTAGGGGGTTCGGGGGGGAAAGGTGCCAACAAAAAACGCGCAGTTCCAGAAAAAAGGGCAAAAAACGCGAGTGCAGGGAAGGGGCAGGCCGCGCAGTGCCGTGGGGAGAGGTAACTGCGGGTCCAGGGAGAAAAGTACGAGTCCAGCTTCTTGACGCCGACAAAGGGGGTCATTCTCAATTAACAATAGTGCGTCGGGGGGCGGGGGCGGGGGGGTGGTTGGTAAAAGAACATTTGTACGCATGCGAAACTACCCAAGAGCTGGACATGCAGGAAACATTGCAGTTTGCAGCCTTTAAAGTGCTGGAAACGCAGCAATCTCCAGTGTTGCAGCCCCTAGACCGCCAAGGCAAGCCCTTCTGGACCTGCTCAATGCCCTCGCATCCTGCAATGTTTAACTAACAGCCAAGGACCAGCAAGGGATTTCGAGGTCTTTGAGGCTGGCTAATGCGCATAAATCGTGTGCGTGACTTGCAGTTGTGTGACGCTTTCTACATCACCCAGGAGCTGGACATGCAGAAAGCGCTGCAAGTTTACAGTCGCAGCCCGAAGTCAAACTTCAAACCATTCCTTGGGAACAAGACGAAGCCGTAACAAACAGCGCCCTCCTGCGTCTTGGTGTTGCTGCCATTGTCGGGCCTCCCGAGCCACTTGCTCCTTCTGGCTGGCATACCCAGACCCGCACAGCGGAAGCTCGTGGGATATGATTTCCTTTCGACGGTGGTCTCGGTCGCCGGGTTTGGTTCTCGGCATACGCACATGCACCTCAGCTCCACTGTGTGGAGGAATGTTTTAGTATGTCTTAGTGTATGTTTTGGCAACACGTTTGCAGCAGCGTCTACTTGCGGAAACCACTGATCGTTGTGACTTCTTACAATGCCACTCACCAAGAAATGTCATTTTGTTTACCTGTTTTGCACAGTTCGCAGCATCTACTTGAGAAAACCAAGTTTTGTTACGACCCGCGCAACGTCCTAACCATGCGTCTAGTTGTGGGATGTTCGGTCTCGGGCGGTCAATGTTTCAAGCCCGTGAGCAGTCGAGGGGCGCCGGGCCAGAGCTAGGAAAAAGAGGAGAGCGGAAAGAAAGAACTCTGCCGTGGAAATCCCCAACTGTGCAACGCTAGTTTTCTTTAGCTTTTTCCTTCCCACCCTGGAGGAGGAGACGTTTTCGTTTAAAGATGCTCAAAGGCTTCGCTCAAGATTCTGCAAGCCCATGACTTCGTTGTTGCTCCCTGCGCGGCTATGCGGCTCAATTGGGGCACGCGCCAGAGCCTTCTGGTTGTCCAGAGTTCGTTATCCGCAGCGGTGTTTTGGTTGCGTCGTTCAAAAAGCTCTGCTCCAGCCAGCGATGCTGACATTGCGAGGCGGCCTGTAATAACACCGATACGACTCACACGAGCCTCCAGAGTGCACGTGAGGGCATTCAGTGTCGGAGTTTCCTCGCCAGGATGGGGCCGCCACCGCGTGCTCTCCTCGAAGGGCGTACTGTACTGGGCTTGGTTAGCAACATTTAGCAACAGATCATGCTGGTGATCATATCATGCTGGTGATGGTGCACTTTCCAGGGTCATGTTTTGAGGATGGTCTGCTGGTTGCTGCTGTCCTGGAAATGGACGCTGGTGGCAGGCTCTGCACTTGAATCTTGCTCGGCTTCCTCCCTGTTTTCATAGATTATGCTTATGCTTAAACTCCTGAAAATGCCTCCTCTCAGGGGATGGATCGCAGATTCGCCCGGAATGGCCGAAGGCGGAGCCCAGGCACCGCGCTTGCCTTGGGGGCATCTTGTGAGCAGCTCAGGATGCGGAAGATGCGGAAGCCAAGCTGGGCACGAAGATCCATGCCAACTTAGATCCGGCCGCGGGCCCAGACGTAGCACACGCGCTTCACAGCCGATGTTGAGCCGAGCCCCCCAAAGGACGCTCGAAGAGCATCTGAAGTGCCTGCGCAGGAGCCCGATACTTTAACGGGGAGTGAGAGGCTTTGAGGGCCGGTATGGTCCTGTAAGTCCTGTAAGTCCTGTGTGTTGCGCACGGTCCAGGAGCTGTCTTGGAGTGTGACCTCCGGGTCCGGCCCCCGTGTACAAAACCGAGCAGCGAAGCGCCACATGCAGCCCCTGTGTTGAAGCGCTTGCTCTCTCCACGAGCCAGGTCTTGCACCTTGCAGAGTGATGGGTGCATCAGCAGTTCGGGCTACCCGAACTCCTATCCGAACAACGACTTCTGCAATATCCAAGTGAGCACGGGCAATCGGAAGTCTCTCCAAGTTTTGGCTTTCAACGTGGAGGCTTATCATGACAGGCTTGTGGTCGATGGCTTCCACATTGTCGAGAGTGTCTTTGACGACATTGTGCCGCAAGACTCCCTGCAATGGACCTCGGTTCCTCGGCTGCCTTCTTCTAGCATGTCGTTATGTAATGTCATCTTCTGTGTCACTTCCTTGAGCAAGTGCTGGAACCGACGTGAGATGCACAAACCTTGCTGCGTAGCCACGTCGGGCGTAGATGGCCAAGCTCAGGATGGAAGCGTCACGGCTTCTGGCTGGAAAATCTGTTTGGTCGTGACAATTCTTAGCATGTCATGTGATTTCGAATCCACTCTTTGTTCCTGGCTAGCATCAAACACTCCCGGTTCGATGACATCAGCGTGGACGCGTGTCAACGGCGCAGACACCAACATAGATGGTTCTGGTTGGTACCTGCGCGCCGCAAGCAACAGCTCGCAGGACGTGGTCCTGGAGAGCGTCCCTGACATGGTCATCACTGACAAGCTCGTGGCCTTCTCCTTCGGCTTCCAGATCAGTGGGTCGGAGGCGACGACGCTGCAGCTGGATTGCCAAGCCTCAGAGAACAGTAGCTGGCTGAGTCTGTGGACCCAGCATGCCAGCCAGATCTCCTCCTCGTGGCAGGACGCGATCGTGGTTGTTCCTGCCGGGACCGCTCGCCTGCGGCTGTTGGCGCGGCTCGCAGAACCAAGTGATATGGTTGGTCTGGACTCGGTGCAGACGTTGGTCGTCGTCCCAAGCGCGGAGAATGCAAGTTGCAACTTCGACGAGGATGCATGCGGCTGGATTTGTGGCGGCCAGGCTTCTCACATCTTCTCATGGTGTCAAGGGGAGTCGGGTCCGTCGGGTCAAGATAGAGGCTTCCTCCCCTTCCCCCGTGCCAGGCGTGGAAGCGCAATACTGGGGAGACGCCGAGTTGGGGGACTGGGCCAAGATACGCGGCCGAAGGCAGCCACTACATCTACCTAGAGTCGACAGGCCGAGAGCATCAGGCCGGGATTTGTTTGACTTGACAACAGGTGACATGTGCTCACAAGCAGAGCCTGATTGTCAACTTTTGTGAACCACAATTCGTGCACTGAGCACGTTTTCTTGTGCTCGATGAAAGCACGGATATGCAAAGATGCAAAAGTGCTAAAGTTGGCAGGCGTTCACCTTGACCAGTCCCTTGTTCAGCACGCGCGCGTCCAGAATTCTCATGAGCTTTGCCTACCACCTTTACAGCCATGAGTCTATGGGAGACCTGGAGCTTCAATATTTTGATGGGGCCGGCTGGATGGGATACTGGAGCGTGTCCGGAAGTCAAGGCGATGAGTGGTATCTCGCACAGGTCCTCCTGCCTCCCGAAGTGGTAGCCGTGCGCTTCCTTGGCACGACGCGGGGCGGCCAGAGCGACATGGCTATCGACGACATCAACTTGGGTTCGTTCAACGTCTCAATTGTCGACCTGTCATGCAACTTTGAAACTGACTTTTGCTGGTGGCCCTTAGCGAGCTCTTCCATAGGGTCGGCTTGGGAACGCGTCGCAGGCTCAAGTAGCTCTGCCCTGCCTGCAGCCCATGCTGGAGACTGGTACTTGCGAGCCGCAAGCAACAGCTCGCAGGACGTGGTCCTGGAGAGCGTCCCTGACATGGTCATCACTGACAAGCTCGTGGCCTTCTCCTTCGGCTTCCAGATCAGTGGGTCGGAGGCGACGACGCTGCAGCTGGATTGCCAAGCCTCAGAGAACAGTAGCTGGCTGAGTCTGTGGACCCAGTATGGCAGCCAGAGCTCCTCCTCGTGGCAGGAGGCGATCGTCGTGGTTCCTATCGGGACTGCTCGTCTGCGGCTGTTGGCGCGGCTCGCAGAACCAAGTGATATGGTTGGTCTGGACTCGGTGCAGACGTTGGTCGTCGTCCCAAGCGCGGAGAATGCAAGTTGCAACTTCGACGAGGATGCATGCGGCTGGATTTCTGGCGGCCAGGCTTCTCACATCTTCTCATGGTGTCAAGGGGAGTCGGGTCCGTCGGGTCAAGATAGAGGCTTCCTCCCCTTCCCCCGTGCCAGGCGTGGAAGCGCAATACTGGGGAGACGCCGAGTTGGGGGACTGGGCCAACAAACGCGGCCGAAGGCAGCCACTACATCTACCTAGAGTCGACAGGCCGAGAGCATCAGGCCGGGATTTGTTTGACTTGACAACAGGTGACATGTGCTCATAGCTGGGCCAGTGTGTTTAAGCATGTTCAAGCCTTAAGCAGAGCCTGACGGACGTCAAACTTTAATTGATTCTCGCAGTTGATTGACGCAGCAGCGGTGATTAGACAGCTTTGGGGGCCTTTGCCAGCTTGAGGTTGTTTGTGAACTTCTGTGAACCACAATTCGTGTACTGAGCACGTTTTCTTGTGCTCGATGAAAGCACGGAGATGCGTAGATGCAAAAGTGCTAAAGTTGACAGGCGTTCACCTTGACCAGTCCCTTGTTCAGCACGCGCGCGTCCAGAATTCTCATGAGCTTTGCCTACCACCTTTACGAAAACAACGATTATGGCTATGGTCTTTGGGATGACATGGGTGACCTGGAGCTTCAATATTTTGATGGGGCCGGCTGGATGGGATACTGGAGCGTGTCCGGAAGTCAAGGCGATGCGTGGTATCTCGCACAGGTCCTCCTGCCTCCCGAAGTGGTAGCCGTGCGCTTCCTTGGCACGACGCGGGGCGGCCAGAGCGACATGGCTATCGACGACATCAACTTGGGTTCGTTCAACGTCTCAATTGTCGACCTGTCATGCAACTTTGAAACTGACTTTTGCTGGTGGCCCTTAGCGAGCTCTTCCATAGGGTCGGCTTGGGAACGCGTCGCAGGCTCAAGTAGCTCTGCCCTGCCTGCAGCCCATGCTGGAGACTGGTACTTGCGAGCCGCAAGCAACAGCTCGCAGGACGTGGTCCTGGAGAGCGTCCCTGACATGGTCATCACTGACAAGCTCGTGGCCTTCTCCTTCGGCTTCCAGATCAGTGGGTCGGAGGCGACGACGCTGCAGCTGGATTGCCAAGCCTCAGAGAACAGTAGCTGGCTGAGTCTGTGGACCCAGTATGGCAGCCAGAGCTCCTCCTCGTGGCAGGAGGCGATCGTCGTGGTTCCTATCGGGACTGCTCGTCTGCGGCTGTTGGCGCGGCTCGCAGAACCAAGTGATATGGTTGGTCTGGACTCGGTGCAGACGTTGGTCGTCGTCCCAAGCGCGGAGAATGCAAGTTGCAACTTCGACGAGGATGCATGCGGCTGGATTTCTGGCGGCCAGGCTTCTCACATCTTCGCATGGTGTCAAAGGGAGTCGGGTCCGTCGGGTCAAGATAGAGGCTTCCTCCCCTTCCCCCGTGCCAGGCGTGGAAGCGCAATGCTGGGCGGACGCCGAGTAGGGGGACTGGGCCAACAAACGCGGCCGAAGGCATCCACTACATCTACCTAGAGTCCTCTGGTCGAGCTCAGCCTCAGGCCGGGATTTGTATGGCCTGACAACAGGTGACATGTGCTCATAGCTGGGCCAGTGTGTTTAAGCATGTTCAAGCCTTAAGCAGAGCCTGACGGATGTCAAATTTTAATTGATTCTCGCAGTTGATTGACGCAGCAGCGGTAATTAGACAGCTTTGGGGGCCTTTGCCAGCTTGAGGTTGTTTGTGAACTTCTGTGAACCACAATTCGTGTACTGAGCACGTTTTCTTGTGCTCGATGAAAGCACGGAGATGCGTAGATGCAAAAGTGCTAAAGTTGACAGGCGTTCACCTTGACCAGTCCCTTGTTCAGCACGCGCGCGTCCAGAATTCTCATGAGCTTTGCCTACCACCTTTACGAAAACAACGATTATGGCTATGGTCTTTGGGATGACATGGGTGACCTGGAGCTTCAATATTTTGATGGGGCCGGCTGGATGGGATTTTGGAGCGTGTCCGGAAGTCAAGGCGATGAGTGGTATCTCGCACAGGTCCTCCTGCCTCCCGAAGTGGTAGCCGTGCGCTTCCTTGGCACGACAGCGGTCGGCCGGAGCGACATGGCTATCGACGACATCAACTTGGGTTCGTTCAACGTCTCAATTGTCGACCTGTCATGCAACTTTGAAACTGGCTTTTGCTTGTGGTCCTTAGCGAGCTCTTCCATATCCGTAGGGTCGGCTTGGGAACGCGTCGCAGGCTCAAGTACCTCTGCCCTGCCTGCAGCCCATGCTGGAGACTGGTACTTGCGAGCCGCAAGCAACAGCTCGCAGGACGTGGTCCTGGAGAGCGTCCCTGACATGGTCATCACTGACAAGCTCGTGGCCTTCTCCTTCGGCTTCCAGATCAGTGGGTCGGAGGCGACGACGCTGCAGCTGGATTGCCAAGCCTCAGAGAACAGTAGCTGGCTGAGTCTGTGGACCCAGTATGGCAGCCAGAGCTCCTCCTCGTGGCAGGAGGCGATCGTCGTGGTTCCTGTCGGGACTGCTCGTCTGCGGCTGTTGGCGCGGCTCGCAGAACCAAGTGATATGGTTGGTCTGGACTCGGTGCAGACGTTGGTCGTCGTCCCAAGCGCGGAGAATGCAAGTTGCAACTTCGACGAGGATGCATGCGGCTGGATTTCTGGCGGCCAGGCTTCTCACATCTTCGCATGGTGTCAAGGGGAGTCGGGTCCGTCGGGTCAAGATAGAGGCTTCCTCCCCTTCCCCCGTGCCAGGCGTGGAAGCGCAATGCTAGGCGGACGCCGAGTTGGGGGACTGGGCTACTGACTGGGCCACCAAACGCGGCCGAAGGCAACCACTACATCTACCTAGAGTCCTTTGGTCGAGAGCCTCAGGCCGGGATTTGTATGGCCTGACAACAGGTGACATGTGCTCATAGCTGGGCCAGTGTGTTTAAGCATGTTCAAGCCTTAAGCAGAGCCTGACGGACGTCAAATTTTTATTGATTCTCGCAGTTGATTGACGCAGCAGCGGTGATTAGACAGCTTTGGGGGCCTTTGTCAGCTTGAGGCTGTTTGTGAACTTCTGTGAACCACAATTCGTGTACTGAGCACGTTTTCTTGTGCTCGATGAAAGCACGGAGATGCGTAGATGCAAAAGTGCTAAAGTTGACAGGCGTTCACCTTGACCAGTCCCTTGTTCAGCACGCGCTCGTCCAGAATTCTCATGAGCTTTGCCTACCACCTTTACAGTGAACGCCGTGAGTCTATGGGAGACCTGGAGCTTCAATATTTTGATGGGGCCGGCTGGATGGGATTTTGGAGCGTGTCCGGAAGTCAAGGCGATGAGTGGTATCTCGCACAGGTCCTCCTGCCTCCCGAAGTGGTAGCCGTGCGCTTCCTTGGCACAACACGGGTCGACCGGAGCGACATGGCTATCGACGACATCAACTTGGGTTCGTTCAACGTCTCAATTGTCGACCTGTCATGCAACTTTGAAACTGGCTTTTGCTTGTGGTCCTTAGCGAGCTCTTCCATATCCGTAGGGTCGGCTTGGGAACGCGTCGCAGGCTCAAGTACCTCTGCCCTGCCTGCAGCCCATGCTGGAGACTGGTACTTGCGAGCCGCAAGCAACAGCTCGCAGGACGTGGTCCTGGAGAGCGTCCCTGACATGGTCATCACTGACAAGCTCGTGGCCCTCTCCTTCGGCTTCCAGATCAGTGGGTCGGAGGCGACGACGCTGCAGCTGGATTGCCAAGCCTCAGAGAACAGTAGCTGGCTGAGTCTGTGGACCCAGTATGGCAGCCAGAGCTCCTCCTCGTGGCAGGAGGCGATCGTCGTGGTTCCTATCGGGACTGCTCGTCTGCGGCTGTTGGCGCGGCTCGCAGAACCAAGTGATATGGTTGGTCTGGACTCGGTGCAGACGTTGGTCGTCGTCCCAAGCGCGGAGAATGCAAGTTGCAACTTCGACGAGGATGCATGCGGCTGGATTTCTGGCGGCCAGGCTTCTCACATCTTCTCATGGTGTCAAGGGGAGTCGGGTCCGTCGGGTCAAGATAGAGGCTTCCTCCCCTTCCCCCGTGCCAGGCGTGGAAGCGCAATACTGGGCAGACGCCGAGTTGGGGGACTGGGCAAACAAACGCGGCCGAAGGCATCCACTACATCTACCTAGAGTCCTCTGGTCGAGAGCCTCAGGCCGGGATTTGTATGGCCTGACAACACGTGACATGTGCTCATAGCTGGGCCAGTGTGTTTAAGCATGTTCAAGCCTTAAGCAGAGCCTGACGGACGTCAAACTTTAATTGATTCTCGCAGTTGATTGACGCAGCAGCGGTGATTAGACAGCTTTGGGGGCCTTTGCCAGCTTGAGGTTGTTTGTGAACTTCTGTGAACCACAATTCGTGTACTGAGCACGTTTTCTTGTGCTCGATGAAAGCACGGAGATGCGTAGATGCAAAAGTGCTAAAGTTGACAGGCGTTCACCTTGACCAGTCCCTTGTTCAGCACGCGCGCGTCCAGAATTCTCATGAGCTTTGCCTACCACCTTTACGAAAACAACGATTATGGCTATGGTCTTTGGGATGACATGGGTGACCTGGAGCTTCAATATTTTGATGGGGCCGGCTGGATGGGATACTGGAGCGTGTCCGGAAGTCAAGGCGATGCGTGGTATCTCGCACAGGTCCTCCTGCCTCCCGAAGTGGTAGCCGTGCGCTTCCTTGGCACGACACGGGGCGGCCGGAGCGACATGGCTATCGACGACATCAACTTGGTTTCGTTCAGCGTCTCAGTCTCAATTGTCGACCTGTCATGCAACTTTGAAACTGACTCTTGCTGGTGGCCCTTAGCGAGCTCTTCCATAGGGTCGGCTTGGGAACGCGTCGCAGGCTCAAGTACCTCTGCCCTGCCTGTAGCCCATGCTGGAGACTGGTACTTGCGAGCCGCAAGCAACAGCTCGCAGGACGTGGTCCTGGAGAGCGTCCCTGACATGGTCATCACTGACAAGCTCGTGGCCTTCTCCTTCGGCTTCCAGATCAGTGGGTCGGAGGCGACGACGCTGCAGCTGGATTGCCAAGCCTCAGAGAACAGTAGCTGGCTGAGTCTGTGGACCCAGTATGGCAGCCAGAGCTCCTCCTCGTGGCAGGAGGCGATCGTCGTGGTTCCTATCGGGACTGCTCGTCTGCGGCTGTTGGCGCGACTGGCTGCGCCCAGAGATTTTGCGTGTGTGGACTCTCTGCAGTTGCTGAACGTCTCCACAACGGTGATGAATGCCAGTTGCGACTTTGTGGTGGATGCATGTGGCTGGAAGTCTGAGTCTGAGGCAGGGTTCAAAGTTTTGGAGACCACGGTCTTTGCCTCGTATCAAGAAAAGTTGGTCCCTGGCCAGGACTGGGCGGTGGTAAATGCGTTCAGCGGCTACATCCAGTCGAGCATTTCTACTGATTCTACTGCTACTTTTGAGGTGCGGCTCTGGCAACACGTGCTAACACAGCTTTCCAGGGGGCACGCGAAGAAATAATGGATTGTTTCCAGCCCCAAACAATTATCACCATGTTTTTGGTCCCCAAATAAAAATAATGGAACGGGAAACCATTGAATTAAATTAGTATTTCTCCCCCCCCCCCCCTCCCCCCCCTCCCTCGCCCCCGCCCCTCCGCCTTGGCTTACAGAAGCTGGCACTCGGGCTTTGTCACTGCCAAACGCGATTTGGCCCTTTGGAAGAAAACTTGAACCCAAAATCTTAGGGACCAGAGCTTGCGATTTGGCTCTTTGGAGGAAAACTTGACCCAAAATCTTAGGGACCAGGGCTTGCGAGTCAGCTTCCACCCCTTCCAGTTCTACGAAACATACCACTCAGAAAAGAACGAAAAAACAGAGCGAGAGAGAGAGAGAGAGAGTGCAGCGTGGGGGTGGGCGTGGGGAAAAAACCCTTGCCCTCAAGCCCGCTGAAAAAGGAAAAAAAGAGCGCGAGAGGGTGGTGGAGAAGCGAGACGAGTGAGGAGCGAGAAGAAGGTGTAAACTCCCCTTCTTTCTTATGTTCTTGTCTAAACAGAGAACGAGATAAGGGGAAAGCCAAGAGGCCCTCTCTCTCCCACGGTCTACGCTTCTCTCCATGCCCTGCGTTGTCTCATTCCCTCTCTCCTTCTGCAAATCTCTTGGAAGCTGATGCTCGTTTTTTTCGTGCAGGCAGGTGCCTCCAGGGGAGGACGCTGCCTTCATCTCATTCCGCCTTCCCGTACCACTTTAAAAGGAAAATGATAAGATAGAGAGAAAAAGAGACAGGGTCAGGGGGGGAGAAGAGGGAGGGGCAAGAACAAGGTAGGAAGAACATGTAAATTCCTCTTCTCTCTTCTCTTTTCCTCTTTCTGGTCCACAAGAGAGAAAGCTGATATGGATTTGAGAAAGGGGAAGCTAAGAGTCAAGAGACCCTTTCTCTCCCTTGGTCTATGCTTCTCTCTCCATGCCTCGCCTTGTCTCGCTCCCTCTCTGCTTCAGCAAATCTCTTTCTTTGTAGCTCACCCTCCTCCTCGTCTTCCAATTTTACAAGACATGCCGCTCAAAAACAAGATAGAGAGAGAGATAGAGAGAGAACGAGCGAGCGAACCGGAAGAAGAAAGGAACAAGGTAGGAAGACGTGTACACTCCTCTTCAACAAAAAACTGATTGGGAGCATATGCTTGTCCAAACTTTTTGGAGGGCAGTGCCTGCGATTTGTCTTTGGGGAGCGCATTTTGCCAAAATCTTAGGGGGACGGTGCTTGCGATGTGTGTTTTGGGAGCATCCCCTTCTCCAAAATCTAAGGGGGACGGTGCTTGCGATTTGTCTTTTGGGAGCACAGAAAATCTTGGGTCTTCGGCCTGCTTTCTTTCAAGGTTCAGGTCTCCGGTCCTTTCAAGGTAGGTCTTGTTAGAAAAAGAAAACAGGACACCCTAATTTTGGGTACATGTAACATCTCTTTCTTGTATTGCCTCTTGCGCAAAGAACGACAGGAAGGCATCGGTGGAAAAAGGGGAGCACCTTTCCTTCAAGTTTCCAAAATCGGAGTCTCTGGTGTGGGTGTCCTGTTAGGGTGGGTGGCTACAGAAGAAGGAAGAAAAGGACACCCGAAACACTCTAAAAACTTGGACAACCCTTTTGTACATGTTAAATGTTATTTTTTTACTTAATGAAACGAACGAAAGGTGAGAGTGGACAAAGAAGCATTTTTCTTTCAAGGTTTCCAAAAAATAGAGGTCTCCGGTGTGGGTGTATATTTGATATTTAATGTTTCGCTGCAAAACAAAGAAAAGGACATTCGAAGCACTCTAAAAATCTTGGACACCCCATTTACATATTAAATCAGATATTTATACTTAAAGGGGACAGAAAATGAAACGAACGAAAGGTGAGAGTGAACAAGGAAGCACCTTTTTTTTTGAAGGTTTCGTGGGGTCATTTCTTTGCTCCAAACAGTCAAATCGCAAGCCCTGCTCCCTAAGATGTTGAGTTCAATTTTGCTCCAAAGAGCCAAATCGTAAGACCTGCTCCCTAACACTTTGGGTTCAAGTTTTCCTCCAAAAAGCCAAATCGTAAGCCCTGCTCCCTAAAACATTGGCTTCAAGTTTTCTTCCAAAGAGCCAAATCGCAAGCCCTGGTGCCTAAGATTTTGGGTTCAAGTTTTCCTCCAAAGAGTCAAATCGCAAGCCCTGGTCCCTAAAATGTTGGAAGTTTTCCTCCAAAGAGGCCCTGGTACCTAAGATTTTGGGTTCAAGCTGTCGTCCAAACAGCCAAATCGCAAGCCCTGGTCCCTAAGATTTTGGGTTCACGTTTTCCTCCAAAGAGTCAAATCGCAAGCCCTGGTCGCTAAGATTTGGGGCTCAATGTCAAGTTGTCCTCCAACGACACAAATCGCAAGCCCTTGTCCCGTCCCCAAGACTGGGGGGTCATTGTTTGCTCCAAAGAGTCAAATCGCAAGCCCTGGTTCCCGAAAAATTTAGCTTCAAATTTTCCTCCAAAGAGCCAAATCGCAAGCCCTCGTCCCTAAGATTTTGGGTTCAAGTTTTCTTCCAAGCAGCCAGCTCGCAAGCCCTGTTCCCTAAGATTTTGGGTTCAAGTTTTCCTCCAAAGAGCCAAATCGCAAGCCCTGGTCCTTAAGTCTTTGGGTTCAAGTTTTCCTCCAAGGCTCCAAATCGCAAGCCCTGGTCCCTAAGATTGTGGGTTCAAGTTTTCCTGCTCGTTGGAGGAAAACTTGAACCCAAAATCTTAGGGACCAGGGCTTGCGATTTGGCGCTTTGGAGGAAAACTTGAGCCCCAAATCTTAGGGACCAGGGCTTGCGATTTGGCTCTTTGGAGGAAAGCTTGAACCCAAAATCTTAGGGACCAGGGCTTGCGAGTTGGCTGCTTGGAGGAAAGCTTGAGCCCGGAATCTTAAGGACCTGTGTCGTTGGAGGAAAACTTGAACCCCAAATCTTAGGGACCAGGGCTTGCGATTTGACTCATTGGAGGAAAACTGGAACCCAAAATCTTAGGGATTGGAGGAAACTTGAACCCAAAATCTGCGGGACCAGGGCTTGCGATTTGGCTCTTTGGAGGAAAACTTGAACCCAAAATCTTAGGGACAAGGGCTTACGATTTGGCGCTTTGGAGGAAAACTTGAGCCCAAAATCTTAGGGACCAGGGCTTGCGATTTGGCTCTTTGGAGGAAACTTTGAAGCCAAAATCTTAGGGACCAGGGCTTGCGATTTGGCCCTTTGGAGGAAAACTTGAACCCCAATTCTTAGGGACCAGGGCTTGCGATTTGGCGCTTTGGAGGGACCAGGGCTTGCGATTTGGCTCTCTGGAGCAAAAAATGACCCCACAATCTTAGGGACCAGAGTTTGCGATTTGGCTCTTTGGAGGAAAACTCGAACCCAAAATCTTAGGGACCAGCTCTTGCGATTTGGCTTTTGGAGGAAAACTTGAGCCCAAAATCTTAGGGACCAGGGCTTGCGATCTGGCTCTATCCCGCAACATGAGCATCGATGACGATAGTCTTTATTTTAGGCCTAGCGGCACGGGCCGGCCCCCGCCCCGCAAACAGGAAACCTCGAAGTGGGCATCGTTTTGTTTTTGTTTTTCTGCTCCGTCTTTATTCCGCTGCCCTGTCTGTCACCCCCCCCCTCTCCCCCCAACTCTTTCTCCGTCCTCTCCTCCGTCCTTTCTCCACATCGGCGGCGCCTGCTCTCTCTCTCTCTCTCTCTCTCTCTCCTCTCCCCTCTCGCTCTTCCCCTTCCCCCCACCCGCCCGCGCGCGCGCGCGCACGCGCATCAGGAGCATCATTGGGGTTGGTTTGGGAGCCCAAAAGACATTCTAAGCATGCGTTTTGCCTTCGAAAAACCTTCAGAAAACTCTGTAAACACGTGTTTTTGAGCTTGGGAAGCCTTTTGGAACCGAGGAAGAGAGAGCATCATGAGCATCAGCGGCCTCCCCCAGGCCATCCGAAACCTCCTGAAACACGCCGATTATATGTGCTTGAACGCTTGCGTGCCCACCAAACCCCCAAAAGCAAGACCCCGAATGCCCTTAAGCGCATTCGGGGTCCTGCTGTTCGGGTGTTTTGTAGGCACGAAGCCGTTCGAGCGTAAAATGAGCGATTTTAGGGGCGTTTTTACGTGGACCCACAAAACACTCGGTATTTACGAGGTTTTCTGCTGTTGGAACACCCCCCCAAACCGAGCATCATGAGCATCAGCTGGGTCTTTGGGCCGTCGGCCCGGAGGCCCACGACGCCCGTGAGAAGCGATGGCTCGATGATGCGCCCGGACCCCCGCGCATCAGCAGCATCAGCAGACCCCGCCCCCGAACGTGGGTTTCGATGATGCGCACTTTTGGGGGTGGGTCAAGGGCAACAGGGGTGGGGGTCGGAGGCACGCGTGAAAAACCTCATAAAAACACGGTATTTACGGTGATTTCAGCGTTTTTCAGCGTTTTTTATTGCCTTGGGGCCGCGGGCCAGGGCTGCTGATGCTCATGATGCTCGCCTGGTTTTGGGCTTCCGGTACCCCCCCCAAACCTTGAAAAACGTGGTTTCGGCCTGGCGCGCGCCCCATGTGAAAAGCTAGGGCCCATGATGCGCGCCCGTGAGGGTTTAATGGGGTGCTGCGGGTGTTTTGTGGCCTCGGTTTTTCGTAAAAACCCATGGTTTTTACGAAGTTTTCGTGCTTTTCGCACCACCGCGTGTTGCGTCCCCTTGGATGCCGTTTTGGAGGCCTCCCGAAGGGCCCCGTGCGAATCTGAAGCAATTTTGGGCGGGGTCGGCGGCTCGGGCGCTCGCCCCTTTTGGTGCTTTAGTGCGATGCGGGCTCCGCCCTGGACCGCGGGCGGCGCGGGGGCCGGATTTCAGGCCTAGCGGCACGGGCCGGCCCCCGCCCCCCAAAGCACGAAACCTTGAACCTTGGCACTGTCTTCTCTTTCCCGTGTCTTTGTCCTCTCCTTCTCTCTGTCTCTCTTTCTCCTGCCTTCGCCCCCCCTCCCTCCCCCCCCGCGCGCGCGCGCGCGCGC